TAATGAGCTAGTTTTGCTTGAAACTCAAAGCTTTCAAAATACTTAGAGTCCCTTTGTCCCAGCAGACATTGTTCAGGTATAAATCTAGTGTTATGTGCTCTGGCTAACCTGACACCASCCTGTGCACACATCTGTGCTTGGTCTACACGGAATTTGGTCTCCAGCCTAAGTCACTGATACTCAGATGTATCACCATGAACATCATACTGAGAAGACAACCCTTCAAACCTGCCCTTCAGTCCTGCTCTCCCACACAAGTGTCAGCCAAAAGAGGCTACAATAGCAGAGCAYAACTGTTCAAACTTTCACCCAACCTGGCTGACACCTCCACAGTTTGACTGACAATTGAGCTGCAGACTGGTGGCTGCTACAGACATTGCTGCTGCTGTGAAAAGAACAGGTATGTGTATAATTGTTCAGATAGAAATAATGTTGTGATTTTTCTCCCTTCGCAAGTGCCTCCAGGGTTAAATTAATAACATAAGTGTCAAAATTACATTTCACTCAAATGACCCAGAAATTGCTCAAGCTAAGTTTCACACTGTTGGCTTCCCCTGCAGGCAGTAGCAAAGAAACAGCAAACCCTCAGAAGGTAGTCACAGTAACTAGACACCAAGCCTTGCCCTTGGTGWGTTGGGGTGTTCAGTTTGCAGGCCATCAGTTATAGACAGCTACAAGCCTGCTGGATGATGGCAGAATCTCAGCATCTTCTCTGCAGCACAGGGACTGAAGGATGCCCAACATCCATTCTCAGAGCCTTTGGTCAGAGAGTYTGGCATCCAGAGCAAACAGCAGCCTTCTCTACAAGGCAGTTTTAGAATCACAGAATCACAGATTATGCTGAGTTGGAAGKGACCCATCATCATCAYCAACTCTAACTCCTCAACCTACAAAGGACAGCCCAAGGATCCAAGCAGAGCAGCAAAACAGTGGACTAAGAGACAGAGGAGATTTCAAGTCCATTACAGTATCTGAGGGGTGGCAAGACACTTGGAGGGCTTTGTAGAGGCCAGGACTCCTGCTGACCTTTTTTTTGCAGAAACTCRATCCTTCTGAGAATGATTAAAATTTGACAAACATGGCAGCTAGAAAATAACTTACCTGGGAGATGCTATCTGCTATTACCTGRCAGAATTCTCTATAGACAAAGGAATTCTGAAATTCTCACATAATTCTATACATTACTTTCAGGAGGATGTGATTGTCAATATTCTGCTCAGTGGCTCAGTAATTGCATTGCTAGTAATAGGGCTTATCTASCTGGGTCAGGCCTCCATCCTGATCTTCCAGGCTTGTTATCTACCCATTTGTTATGAGAACTTGCCCTGTGACCAGCTCTTGCAAGTGGGTGTCTCTTGTTGTGATGTTTAGTTTAAGTCTGGACTACCAGCAAAGGCCTTGGAAATGTGAGCACAAGTAGAAACAAAGGCTCCAAAACTAAAATGAACTCACAGACAGATGCTCAATCACTGGCTGTGATAGAAGCTCAGCCTTGAGAGCTGGAAAAAGATTGYTCCAAGTACAATAGACTAAACAGTTAAGCAGGGGAAAAAGAACCCAGCCCAGCAAAAGGATAAGGCACCTGCCCTGTCTGGGAAAGTAGCAGCCTTCAGCATCACAACAGTATGTGGTCCATGGGAGAGAAGGGTCATGGCTAAGAACTGTCTAGAAACTCAGAAATCTTCTAAAAGTCCATAATTTCAAACTCTGGGAAGAAGGATCTCATCTGTCACCACAGAATCGTGGTGAGATCACTGTAGCTGTGAGCTCCAAGGAAACCAACTGCCCCTGCTCCCTTCACTTCYTCTCCCTGCCTGCTCCAAGTGTAACTGGATATAAACTGAACAAGGTTGGTTATGATTTTGGGCAACAAATGCCTCAAAGGCAATTATGAAACTCCATGTACCCCAGCTTCCAAAATGACACCTGATGCAATAAATGTAATCCCTGGAGACACTAAAGTACACCTAAATTAAAGTCTAAGAGTAGTCAGTTCAATGCTAAAACTCTTTGCTGGCTATCATTTGTAATCATCCTCTTACACGGCGTACTCACGGAAAGTCACTTACATGTGGCCTCTTCCACTGTAAATTTCGGGGGAGTTTCTTTAGMAGTGCTCCTGTTCCGATAGAGCTGATGTGAGCAGGGAAGGTATCGTCTRTGAACAATCGTTTGCTCTTCAAGCACGACTCCAGCAAAGCCTGATAGTTCTGCTGGATGGAAGGGGTGTGTTTTTGAAAGATACTCCTGCCAAAAGGCACAGGTGACTTTTTTTTTTTCAAGCACAGCAGAAAAGGCATGCTGATGTCTCCAATAGCACCAGGATATTTTTTTCTTTTTCCACTGACGATTCTGTAGGGATATCACACTGCACAGTTCCGCTGGAAACTCTTGGTTTTCTCAGATGAGGAGTGTCTTCTTCAGAAGAATTCCTGGTAGTTAAAATAAGTACAAAAAGTTAATTTTATCCTGGTTTCTAATTTTTTCTCCTTAGACAGCAGGGGTGTGTAGGGATAGTGGCATTCCCARGAGAAGTGGGGGACCACCCAATTCTAACTGAGCACTTATCACAGCATTTTCAAGGTTTTATATCAGTGTAGATCTGAGTGAAGTTCAAAATGAGTGACCCCACTGACTTTTACTAGACCTTTGAAGTCATACACATGGCTATTCTATGTCTCTCTCYGGACTATTTTAGGCTCTCCGGGATATTTTCATAACGTGTTGCAACATGAATGACAGTCTTTATTGATTCATGTCATAACACATTCTGGCATGAAGTTATTTCCCCTCCCAAAAAAAAAA